TGACGCTGTGGAGGAAAGAGATGGAGGAGAAGCTCCTCCCCTTCAGTCCCGTAAGATGTCACGGCTTATGTTTATACAGAGAATCCACAGACAGTAGGGGTGTGTCCCAGAGACACAGATGCCTGCAGCTCAGACAAAGCAGCCATATTATTGGTCAGATGATGAAACGCATCACAGCCGCCTTGTTTCTGTTGGTTCTTAAACACGAGGAACCAAACCCTGCTGAACGAGCTCGTTCTGACCTGCTGATGATGTAACTCCTGTAGTATGTAACTCCGTTTCTCCTGCAGGAGCTGAACGTGATTGGTCTGCTGGTGGACAACGCCACAGTGAGCGAGTGGAACCTGCAGGGTCTACCCAGCGACGACCTGTCCATCCAGAACGGCATCGTGGTGACGAAGGCGTCCCGCTACCCGCTGCTGATAGACCCCCAGGGCCAGGGCAAGACCTGGATCCAGAACAGAGAGCGAGACCAGCAGCTGCAGGTGAGAGCGTCAGCACGTGACTCAAAGTCCGAGCGCTTCGCTGACTGTTCGTGATTTTCTTCTTCTGTGGCTCAGGTGACGTCTTTGAACCACAAATACTTCCGTTCCCACCTGGAGGACAGCCTGTCTCTTGGGCGCCCCCTGCTGTTGGAGGACGTTGGTGAGGAACTGGACCCCGTCCTGGACAACATACTGGACAAAAACTACATCAAGTCTGGCTCCACTTACAAGGTAAAACAGCTGATCTGGACCGGAGGCTAAACAAGGAAGAAGACACAGTAACGGATGTTTCTCCTCCTCCTGCAGGTGAAGGTTGGAGACAAGGAGGTGGATGTAATGAAGGGCTTCACGCTCTACATCACCACCAAGATGGCCAACCCAGCATACAGCCCTGAGGTCAGCGCCAGGACGGCCGTGGTGGACTTCACCGTCACTCAGAGAGGCCTGGAGGACCAGCTGCTGGGACGGGTCATCCTGCTGGAGAAGCAGGTCACTCCACCCGCCAGTTATCCAATCAGTGACGTAGTTAATGAGTTAGCTAGTTACATTTCCTACGGTATGTTTGAAGGCCATTGTAGTGCTCGGCACGTCCGCATTAAGATGATGTTTTACACCACACACTCATGCTGTCTGCTTTATGTTGGTGGGAACGTCTGAACCCACGTGTCCGCCCAACATCTCAGCGGAGGCCAAACAGGCCACAAACAAAGATAACGTTTCTGTGCACTGAACTGAAGGTGGATTAAATATGTCTGCCCTCATTTTGAAACAATTCCCGTGTTCTGATGAAGGAGATGGAGGCAGAGCGAGTGAAGCTCCTGGAGGAGGTGACGTCCAACAAGAGGAAGATGCAGGAGCTGGAGGACAGCCTGCTGTTCAGGCTCACCAGCACACAGGGCTCGCTGGTGGAGGACCAGTCTCTGATCGAGGTGCTGAGCGTCACCAAGATCACCGCTCAGGAGGTACCAGCTGCTCCTTCACTGCGTCTCCTTATTGTCTGATACATGTTTGTAATGTTCATCGAGGAAAACATTTAAAAATCATCAGCTGCACTCTATTAACATCCAAGAATAAAAGTCTACAGCTGGAATATGAAGAATAAATCCGCTGTAAGGTTCACAAAATGGGGGGGGGGCAAGAACTCTTGGACACTGCTACCATCATTGACAGGTTTTTCACGGGGCTCCCACACAAACGCAAAGCAGGAGATGAAGCATCGCTGAAATATGTTTCCAAACCAAATCTTCCCTTTGGCTTCACCTGCACAAGTGCCGAGGTAGGTCTCCCTGCAGGATTGGTTTTC